TATATATATGGCTTGAATATTACGTTTAGCATGAAAAAAACTCAGTCGACTCTATATCTGATATAATGCAAATATCCTATAAATATAGCATGCCTTAAAATATATATATATATATATATATATATATATATATATATATATATATATTACATTTCAATCTATTCACAACACATTACATTTCATCTATACATATGGTTCTGTTGTCAATATTTCGGTATCTCGCCTGTTATGATGTCAACATAACAAAATATCATCTTTGATAAAGAATATATTTGTTTAAATGTCCGTATAACCACTCTGAAGATATTTCATGTGAACTGAAAGCTTAGATCAAGGATCAACTTAATAAACCAAACATACGAGCTTTAAAACTGCTTATGATCAGACATAATATATATACATTGCCTGGATTATTTAACACTATATGTTGATATATATATGTTGATATATATATGTTGATATATATATATATATATATATATATATATATATATATATATATATATATATATAAAGACAGAGAGAGAGGCAGAGACAGAGAGGATAGATAGATAGATAGATAGATAGATAGATAGATAGATAGATAGATGATAGATGTATGTATGTATATGTATGTATGTATGTATGTATGTATGTATGTATGTATGTGTATTTATCTAAATGCAATGACTTTCTTTCCATTTATATACGCAATCGTCAATCGTATACACATTTATGGATAAATACGTGGGTGTGTCTTGATGTACAAAAGCATAAGTAGAAAGAATTTTACTGTCGTGCCTTGAGAACAGAAAGAATCATTTGGCACAATTGAAAATGTTTTCTTACATTTTCTAGTAATTGAATGAAGCAAGAATAAATGTAATGGCATAGCAACGTAATTGACCAATGTTTAAATTCATTGTTAAATTGTTTTAAAATGGTTAATATCTTTCTTCTTATTTTCATTCTTTTTTCACATGCCCTGAAAAGTCAATTCAAGCAAAGGAAATATTTCAAAAATGATAGAATTAGATTGGAAAATAGAGAAAGATGATGAGTGGAAATAAATTTCGAAGCGACCGTCCAAATGAAGAGATATGTAATGATATATGAACGGTAGAGTACGGTATATGGAAAGGGCAGTTGAGCCGGAAGGAAGGAAGAAAAAGTAGAGAAGGAGGCATTAAAAGAGATTGGATAGGAGGAAGTGATAGCGGCCCGATTGTTACGTAACAGTGAAGACATTTAAAGATAAATGAGCAATAATGGAGGAAAAAGGAGTACATTGAGGGAAAAGAACGTATAAAGAAAAGAAAGGGAAGGAAGGAATTGAGAGATAATAAAATCGAAATAGAGCGAATTGAAGTTAAAATGATAAAAATAAATAGTAAACACATGAAGAAACAAAGAAAGAGAATACGAGAATAGAAAATTAGGAAGAATATCAAAGATAGGGTGAATAGCAAGAAGACAGGGGATAGTGAAAGAAAAGATAGGGTGAATAGCAAGAAGACAGGGGATAGTGAAAGAAAAGAGAGGGTGAATAGCAAGAAGACAGGGGATAGTGAAAGAAAAGAGAGGGTGAATAGCAAGAAGACAGGGGATAGTGAAAGAAAAGAGAGGGTGAATAGCAAGAAGACAGGGGACAGTGAAAGAAAAGAGAGGGTGAATAGCAAGAAGACAGGGGATAGTGAAAGAAAAGAGAGGGGTGAATAGCAAGAAGACAGGGGGATAGTGAAAGAAAAGAGAGGTGAATAGCAAGAAGACAGGGGATAGTGAAAGAAAAGAGAGGGGTGAATAGCAAGAAGACAGGGGATAATGAAAGAAAAGAGAGGGTGAATAGCAAGAAGACAGGGACAGGAAAGAAAAGAGAGGGTGAATAGCAAGAAGACAGGGATAGTGAAAGAAAAGAGAGGGTGAATAGCAAGAAGACAGGGGATAGTGAAAGAAAAGAGAGGGGTGAATAGCAAGAAGACAGGGGACAGGAAAGAAAAGAGAGAGGAATAGCAAGAAGACAGGGGACAGTGAAAGAAAAGAGAGGGTGAATAGCAAGAAAGGAGACAGTGAAAGAAAAGAGAGAGTGAAAGAAAAGAGAGAGTGAATAGCAAGAAGACAGGGGATAGTGAAAGAAAAGAGAGAGTGAATAGCAAGAAGACAGGGGATAGTGAAAGAAAAGAGAGGGTGAAAAGTTAAAGATAAAAAGACAAGAAGAATGAAAGAGAATGTGAACGAATAAGTAGAAATCGAGAGTGAGATAAGATATAAAAACAGAAAAAAAAGACAGATGACGGACTGTAGCATCTAATTAAGAAAAATAACAGAAGGAAAACAAAAAGAAATGAGAGAAACAAAGAACAATATGGATAGGAGGAGGAGAGGGAAAGAAAACAAAAAGAAATGAGAGAAACAAAGAACAATATGGATAGGAGGAGGAGAGGGAAAGAAAACAAAAAGAAATGAGAGAAACAAAGAACAATATGGATAGGGAGGAGGAGAGGGAAAGAAAACAAAAAAGAAATGAGAGAAACAAAGAACAATATGGATAGGAGGAGTAGAGGGAAAGAAAACAAAAAGAAATGAGAGAAACAAAGAACAATATGGATAGGAGGAGGAGAGGGAAAGAAAACAAAAAGAAATGAGAGAAACAAAGAACAATATGGATAGGAGGAGGAGAGGGAAAGAAAACAAAAAGAAATGAGAGAAACAAAGAACAATATGGATAGGGAGGAGGAGAGGGAAAGAAAACAAAAAAGAAATGAGAGAAACAAAGAACAATATGGATAGGAGGAGGAGAGGGAAAGAAAACAAAAAGAAATGAGAGAAACAAAGAACAATATGGATAGGAGGAGGAGAGGGAAAGAAAACAAAAAGAAATGAGAGAAACAAAGAACAATATGGATAGGAGGAGGAGAGGGAAAGAAAACAAAAAGAAATGAGAGAAACAAAGAACAATATGGATAGGAGGAGGAGAGGGAAAGAAAACAAAAGAAATGAGAGAAACAAAAAGAACAATATGGATAGGAGGAGGAGAGGGAAAACAAAAAAAAAAATGAGAGAAACAAAGAACAATATGGATAGGAGGAGGAGAGGAAAGAAAACAAAAAAATGAGAGAAACAAAGAACAATATGGATGGGAGGAGGAGAGGAAAAAAACAAAAGAAATGAGAGAAACAAAGAACAATATGGATAGGAGGAGGAGAGGGAAAGAAAACAAAAGAAATGAGAGAAACAAAGAACAATATGGATAGGAGGAGGAGAGGGAAAGAAAACAAAAAGAAATGAGAGAAACAAAGAACAATATGGATAGGAGGAGGAGAGGGAAAGAAAAGAGAGAATCAAAATGCGTGTGCACGAGAAACAGACGGTTTAGAATAAAGAGAAAGAAGAACTGCTATAAAGGATTTGAAGAGTCGGAATAGAGGAAATGATGAGAGGACAAAGAGCAAGAACAGACAAAGAAAGAAGAGAGAAATCGAGCGACGAGATAGATGTTAAAGAATATGTGTGAGAACGAGGCAAAAATAATACAAGATTCAAATGAAAAGAGAAAAGAAACCAAAGCGCGGGGTTATGTAAATATTTGAAAAATAATCAAGTGGGATAATGAAAGCAGAAGTTGAAGAGAAAATAGTGAAAACAAGTATTAATTGTGAAAAAAGAATCTTAGAAAAGAGAGAGAAATGAATTACGAGGGAGAAGGAATAGAGAGATAACAATTGACAAAGCCTAATTATTGTTAATAAAAATAAAAATCTCTTAAAACCACAGAAAAGAAAGATTTACATGTACAAAACAGCGGGTTTTGAGACCTGAAAGCGGATATTAAATTCGAAAATATTTTTTTTAATCGTTTTACAAGAAGTCTTCTCTTTGGCAAATAGATGGAAAGGATCTTTCCTTCTGAAGTATCGAAAATGAAACGATTGTTGATCTAAACACAGATTTGTACGATATTTATTAAGCTTAGTATAGTAATGCATAAGGCAGAACGCATGGAAATGTGGAAAAGAAAATTTTGTGATATCAATCTTCCTATTAAAAAGGGTTTTCCTACCTAAAAAATCCGGATCATTTTATATAGGTTCGAACACCAACATCCCGGCCCATGTAAAAATATCCAACAATCTACATTTCATCCAATACAAGATTCGACAGCCATTCAAAATAAAGGATTGGAGTATTTTTCTTCATTTTTTTTTTAATCATTTCACCCTAATGAAGGTTAATAAAGTCACTAAGATGCAAAGGACTACTTCGGGTGAGAGAATATGAGAAAAATGAAAACATTATTAAGGATAGAGAACAATAAAAAGGAATTTTAAAAGATTGATGATAAGGATTAACATTGCATTTACTTTTTTGAAGATAAAATTTACCAGGGAAGCAAGAAGCCGGAAGAGAGTTCCATAAGTGAAACGGGATTAACAATTAACAGTGAAAAAAGTTATATAGCCAAATTAAGATGTGTTATACGAATTACAGACTAAATGTCAAGAAATTCTTTTGAATAGGATAAGGATCAGGGATGACAATTAATTCGATTCTTCAAGTGTGATTTTTTTTTTCCCCACAGTGAGCAGTGTGTCTGTTCTGGGGAAACACATGATTGAGTGCAACATTATAAATCTGGAATAAAGTGAAAACGAGGGTGAGTCAACTCAGTGGAATTGGTATGAAATAGCGAAGATAAAGAATTGAGAACAGCAAAAATCTCAGACTTACGGCCACATCACTTTTAGTTCCCATACGATCACTTATGCTAAAGAACTTCGTGTCTGGTCACTACCAAGACGGGTGTCTACTTGGAAATATCAGCTGCTCTAAATTTGCATATGCGGCTGTTGTAATTGATAATGGCTCTGAATTATTAATCGGAGAACCGAGTTCCAATTCCAGTTGGGTTCGTTATATTCACTCACGCGCAAATACTCTTGGGAAAGCTATGAATTCACCTCTTCTCCCACAACTATGGGTTAATTAATACGACTTTTATCATTAAACCATTTATATCTCCCTCCTCAAATTCATACACTCTAAAAAAATATGTTCTTCTTTTAAATAACATACAAAGGGTTGATAAGCCGTAGCAAAAGGAATCGGTCCATCAATAGGCAATCTGAACTACAGATTAGGTGACAACAATGTAAACTATTCAATGAAAACTATGTATAATCTTTGAATAAATCAACAGCTCGCAAATATCATACTTTTAAATTTTCTATAATTTGGCGCAAAAAAAATCATTTATGAAACAACAAATGTAAAAATTTAATCCGTACTGGATGTGTCCTCAATTTTAACAAAATTCTTATGGCAGAATCACATGTGGCGAAAAAAGATTAGCTTGTGTTATAAATAATGACCATTTTTTTTCTCAACTTTATCCACAAAAATGTAAATTAGAATTACAGTTTATTCAATTATGTCTTCACCATTATTTGTAATGATTTCTTCTTTCTTATCAGGCAGCATTTTCATACACTTTTGAATAAAATTCAACAGTTTTTGATGTGAATAATTCTTCAACGAACACTTGAATCTTATTTTCATTAGAGATTTTTTCCTCCATCAAATTGTTTTTGTAGTGATCGAATAATGTAATAATCGCTTAGTGCAAGGTTTGGTGAATATGGCCAGCCTGATCGAACGGATCAACACACTTCCAAAATGATTTCCTGTTATTTTTGATTTGTGTGGCCTTTCTTTGCCGTGATATATAAAATCATTTTATCCTTTAATATATTATGTACTCTAATACTGTGGTGTACTCTAAATTTATTCTTAACTGCCACCTATGATGAGTAGTAAAGATAATATATTCATCATTAAAATATTTACGAAAAGCACGACGTACTTATGACTCATTTTAATATATGTCATCTTAAGGAGATATACATTTGAATTTCGAACCGAACCCTTTATTTAGTTCACGGGGGATAGGTTGTTCTAGTTTCACGTGCCATGCCTTTTTTCTGTTTATTTCAGCCTCAGATAATTCCCTTTAGTAACTCAACTCCCCAAGTTTTTTTTCCACCTCTGCTGTGGCCAGGAATTACTTACAACTATTTGCATCAAGTCACTGGATTACTTCCCCCAACGCTTTTATCCACTGGGCCATATGTCCTTGGAGACTGAGATATCCAGAAAAGGCATGGCACGTGGAGCTAGAACAATCTACCCCTGTGGACTAAATAAAGGTTTCGGTTCGAAATTCCAAAACCCGGTACGTACAATGTCCGAAACGTCGCCAACATGACAATAAATATAATGACAACGGTCCGAACAATGTAAATAGAAAATACAGACAGATGTATAATTTCATACGTAAATATGATTTATTGATGGCCGCAAATAATTAAATTAGAGTAGGTTGATACTACGGATGAAAATTGTCTCTGGTAATAAATAGTTCTATGCATATGTGTATCCTTTGGGTGATACTTATTTAACGAAGACTTATGGCTTTTATCCTAAGGTATATGTAGATCTTAACTAAAAGAGTTATTAATTTCTGTATTATTTTCTGAAAATAACCATAGTTGTTTCTTACAAAGTGTTACATCCTTAAAAAAATATTGAATAATATACCTAAAGAGGGGTGTGTCTGAATGACTCAAGAAATCATTCATATAAATAAGGTACTCGAAAAATGTAAATATTAATCATTTCATCTAAAATTATTTAAAGTTTTACATTTATTCGCTTTTGAATTCATGAACGGAACAGCATGAGTAGTTTAAAATCTAAGAATCAAAATTACATTAAGAAAACGAAGAATATAGGAACTAAAATAATTTTTATATTGCGATTGTTAAAAAAACGTTTTACTGTGAATAAGTGTGTCTTGTGAAAGTATTTTATAATGTTAGAGATCTTCAGTCACTTTCTTGGCTCGAAGACGCAGAAGTTAGTTACAGAAGAGACGTTATAAGTTAAAAGCTAAAGTCAAATTATCTTCAGTACAAATGATTTCGATAGCGGTATTGAAAATAATTATATATAAGAAGGAGTTAAAAAAAATGCTTGTGAAATCGAAGCAAATAAAAATAAAAAGTTTCAGAGGAAGATGGCGGAAGTACATCTGTAAAAAAAAACCAATACATTTGAACGAAAAAAAGGTAAAATGCACAAATAAGGAAAGAATTAAAATATTTCGATGGGAATAACCAAAATGCGAAGCACGGCCGATGAGGAAAATGATTAACGAAGTAAAAAAAAAAAGAAAAAAAAAGAAAAGCCGTTAAAAAGAGATCTAATGTGTCCCGATTCAGAGAAGAACTGAAAGAATGATAAATGAAAATAATTTTACAATAAAAGAAAACGTTCCTATAAATCAAAAGATATAACGAGAAAAGAGACAGGAAGATAAAAAGAAGAAGCAAGAAAAGAATAATGAGATTGATATTTGTAATTTAAAAATATATTCACATGAAGGAAGAAAAGAAGCCTTCATCGAGAAGTAAAAGAAATTAAATGATAATATAGTCAGAGAATATAAAAGGCAAAAGAAAAAAAAGAATCTAGAAGAGAAAGAAGGAAAATATAGAAGGTAAAAAAAATAGGAAGAACGAACCGACATACAATTGAAATATTCTTAGCAAAGAGATGATCATTTGATGAAACTATATTAAATATAAAGGAGACGCGAAACGGAAAGAAAAAACAATAGAGAGAAAGAAAAGAACAGAAAAGAAATGACAAATGAAGGAAAGAAAGAAAAAATGCATAACGAAATAATGAAAAAAAAACACAGTGAAAAAAATGGAAAGAAAAGATGAAGAAACGGAAACGAAAATGAGAATGATAATAAGTAAATGATATATAATAGACGTTAAACATCTCCAGATTAGAACTAGTCAAAGAAACAGTGATTTCTAAGGAAATGGTACGAATAAGTAGAATAAATGTAAGAAGGTACAAAGAATGAGTATAAGAATAAAAGGACTGAGACAATGAATAAATGAAAGATTCAATAAATAGGCTCCGTTTTAATGAAGCCAAATTGAAAGATTAAAGAAAAGACAAGAAATAAAAGGAAAATAGAGAGGACACTGTGAATAAAAATGGCCTGTCTAAAGGAAGAATTTTCTTTAAAACTATTGAACAGGGCGAAAATAAAAAAAGGAGAAAATAGACAATATAGATGAGGAATATAAAAATTCGTGAGTGATGGAGAAAAAAATACAAGTAGGAAGAAAGAGAGTAAATGTTGGTAGATAAATATTAAAAGTAAGTCTTAGAAACAACTATTTTCCAAGATTTAGTAAAGAAATATATAGCAGAGGGTCAGGCACAGAGAAAAATCCAAAAAAAATCTCTACAATATCAATAAACATTTCATGGCAGAAAGAGTTAAAAGAGCATTTATAAAGGGAAAAAACCAAAGTAGAAAAATTGATGATGAAGAAATATTTTACAACAATCAGCTGAAACCAAAACCGCCAGTTAAAGAGAAGTCCAAGAAGGCTCTGATTATCGTAAAGTAATAATTTACATCTTTGTTTCTTTTTGTCTAATTCTTCCATTATTCTTTTGATTTTTTCCTATTGCCTTTCCATTTCCTCTATTATTTCGGGGGCTCAATTGTTACCGTTGCTAAACAATCGGAAAACAAAGTCAACAAGTTTGGTTTAAATCCTAATCACAGCAGTTCAAATCACTTTGTTGCAAAGAATGGTGAAATGTTAAAACCTCTTGGTTGCTAGTCAATATGCCGCCATTGCCCTTTTTCCTCGTCATCAGAAATAGTCGAGACGATTGACTGGGGAAGATACAGCGCAGTCCACTCTAATTATTATCGAAAAGAAACACTTGTATTTATGTCTCATCCCGATTACAAAGCAAGGCTATCCGAACTTGTTTCTTACTAGTGTCTCCACAATTAAAATTTTGTAGCAGGTTATTTTAAGTTCCGTAATACGTTATTAGCTTGACAGTGTTATAAAAGATAATGAACTATATTAGAATGTAGTAAATATTATGTACAAGTTTCAATAGTCAAAATCTTTATCTTGTACCAAATTAAGCCGAATAAATACCCCAAATACTTGATCGTCGGATCTCTGTATATATATATATATATATATATATATATATATATATATATATATATATATATAGTATGTCCATAAAGTTCGTGTGCACTTTAAAAATTTATAACTTTATTTGTATTTGCGATAGAAATAATCTGTAAAATGTTATAAATTTTAATGTATCTAGTTTTAAATATAGCTAAATTAACTAATGTGATTTCAGGCATTACTGTAAATCAGTTGGCAAATGTTTTCCGTGAACTGCAAAATTACCCTTTCTATTGCTAATGATGGAGGACATGTGGAAACTTCTTTCTAATCCTTTTTACAAATTATTTATATCGCAAATACAAATAAAGTTATAAAATTTTAAAGTGCGCACAAACTTTATGGACACTCTGTACATAAACGGTTAATGGTCATACTTGACTCAAACTAGGAAATTATTTTATTATAAGACGTTATAATAATAAAAACAATTTTGAATCGCTAAACAAAAGATTTCAGGTTTCAATACTATGATTGTACTTGTTCAGACGATGGTAGGTAACTGGTTATAAAATGATTTTTTAAGGAAAATTTGAAAACAAATCGTTACCGATTTTCGTAAAGTTAAGGGCTACATCAGGTCAGAAATTAAAGATAGACTTGTGTCTGGATTAACCAATGTCAGAACTACGATAAATATAAAAAATAAGGTCCGAGCGTGTAGGTGAGTGAGTTACTTTAGTTTTCTTCATGTCGCGATAAACCGACATATAGACATAGCATCATTGGCGATTGTGGAGAATATGACAGCAAAATTGCACACACACACACACACACATATATATATATATATATATATATATATATATATATATATATATATATATATATATATATACAACGAGAGAGAGAGAGATAGAGACAGAGACAGACAGAAAGAGACAGAAGCAAAGAGACACAGAAAGAAATGAATACAGATATAGACATAGATAGAACATCAGAATTCCCAGTGCTTGTTGATCAAGAAAAACTTATTAAAAAGAAAAATCGATAATCAATAAGCAGTGTTAATTCCTTTGTTTATACTGTTTATACGTATAAAAATATTGTTCATTCTAACCTTAAATATATAGTAAATTTTAAAGTCTATGTTAAGTGGTTATTTTGTCGATGGAATTTTCGATGCATCAACTATTGTGAGATTATTTAAAATTGAAATTTGTATGGGGCACACAGTGAGGATCGACACCATTACTCCGTAGTTAGAATCAATTTACTAGGTTATTATCCCACACCGAGACGTCTGTTCAAGTCGGTTATAAGAATCTGGTCTCACCTGCGGTTTCGCAATGATATTTTGTTTTTTATGGCTCTTTCTTTTGACTGTAACTGTATATAAATGATTTGTCTCCGGAAGACTTGATACCGCCACATGCTACAAGAGCATTTGGTTCAGCTAACAGTGTAACTCAATATTTTTGTCCATTACGGTTACCTGCTAGATTGTCCTACCGGGTTACAGTAGTCAACAACAACTTTGCAACTTCGAACAAACATATCCCATTCCGGGAGATATCAGTTGTAAATAATTTTACCCCGTAAGGAATTTTTAATTTATTTTTATTTTATTCTCTTTTTTATTCATGTATCATGGAATTTGGTACTTATCTGATTCATATCGCCCTTTCCATTCATCATCTTCAAATACTTAAGGTTGTAAAGAAGAAATATCATTCTTCAACCACTATTTTTTTCTTTCCTTTTCCTGTCTTTCGATCCTTCAATATTTGATTCTAACACAGAATCCGCCCTCACTTATCAATGTTTCGGTTCCTCTTCACAAAACATGCTTCCTTATTCATATAGTTAAGTATAATTATTTACCCTCTGCTCCACGCAGCAAGATGTGGCACAAGACCGAGTTTAAAATGGGGTATCCGAGCCCGTACACTGGGGCAAAAATTCCCGATAGACACCGTAAAAACGGAGTCAGTTTCCCGAGACGAGATTCTGCCATTCGGTAGTGCCTCGTCAGCGGGATACCCTCTGACATAGGCCAGGTAAGTATGCTTCCTTGTTCATATAGTTAAGTATATCTAGCACGTGTTAATTGTTACGTCATAACACGATGATTACCTTAATAAACGCTAATAAGGATCTCACTTGAGAGAAAAGGTGTGTCCAAGATAAAGGAAACCACGGTGAATGTAATTCTCATTAGTTGAACACATACAATTGTAATTGGCCCTGATCTGGCATCTGGTCTGCAGTCGCTCTGTCACAGACGTGCCGTCGCCTCCCTCTGTCTTTTTTACAAATACTTTCATTGTAACTGCTCCGAGGAGTTGCTTTCGCTAGTTCCCAAACTTCATGAATTTAAGCGTTCTACGAGACTGGCATCTCGCTCACACCCTTTCACTGTCGAAACTGTTAAATGTAGCCGTCTCTTCTACTCAAATAGCTTCGTCTCGCACCTCTCACCTGTGGAACTCCCTCACCTCTTTCCCTGTTTCGCTGTAATCTCCAACTATTCAAATGTAATGCCAATCGACGTCCCCAAAGGCCTTGATTTATCCCCTATCCTTCTCTTCATCATTTCCTCTATCACTCCTATTTACTCTCGCTCCAATTCTCTGTAACCCCTTGCGTGCTAGTGGCTTACCGTCTTTTTTTAATTTTTAAAAGAGTTCATTAGTAAAATGGTAATGCCGAATATAATCCTTTGGTAATATTCGGCAGTAATCCTCCGACTGAATTTTTAAAAACATTTCTTTTAAAACAATTTTTTAGAGAAATAGCTTTCTCAAGTGCAGTAACTGTTATTGCACTTTCTCGAATTGATGGAGTTTTCTTCCAATTCTTTTATTCGAAGTAGTGTCAATTGTTATCTTGATTATGTGATTATTTTCTCTTCGACTTAACATGTCATATCTATTTGAGTTATTACTACCAATGTATGTCCTCAAATGATGTAGTTTCCCTTGTTTCGTACAATACATTGTTTGTGGTTCTTTAACGCTAATCAATCAGGCTTTAAGAAGACTAGTCTAAATTAAGAACTAAATACTTCACTCGCTCGAAGGAATTTTAACCATAAAATCTGAGAAAGCGATCGTATGCAACTGACAGTTTAGATACTTCTGAAACATTTTGATGCCATTTAGGATATCCATAAGACCTCTCGATCTACGGAGGCAATTTAAGAAGTCAAGTCTAGTCTTTAGATTAATGTTTTGGTTTTGAAGGAATTCCTGGTATTCTGCAAAACTACCCCTAGCGCAGTATGTTCATTGTCTCGTATAGGAAATTGGTTATAAATTATCCACATACACACACACACATACACACATACACGTACCGATATATTTGAAGTCTCTTAAATTATTTCTATTTTCGTTTGATTCTTGTTGGGTGCTGCGAAGTTGTGGCCTTTTGCCAGACTAAGCTAAACATAATACCGTTTCAACTACTACCCTGCAAATTATATTTTCATTCTATGATTATGTCTTTTTTTTTTTCATCGTTTTCTTCCATTTTTATTCCAAAATTCCATTCGATTTCAATTCCGTCCATTACCAATCCTTTTAACCATCTACTTATTCCTTCCCCCTCCAACAATATATATTTTTTTTAATTCTGGAATTATCTACCCACCCTCACAATTCTTGTTTCAATTTCAACCTCTTTGCTTCCTTGGTGTGGTCCACTTCTTAACACCATTACTCTTTCCTCTTGTATTTCTTCCGTTTACTCTTTCAATTGAATTACATGAGATTTTTTTTCTTTTTTTCTTTCATTTTCTGCACGTTTATTTCATTTACCTCACCAAAAAATAAAACATTTTCCATCGGATTATTTTCAATTTTCTTTTTTTGGACTAACCAAGAAGGATTTTTTTTTTCGACACTTTATTCTTTCTTTTTATCGTGGCATATTTTTTATGCCAACTTTTTTTTTTTTTCACTCAATTAAAGAAAATGTTCTCGTCTGGCCCACATATTGATTTGCTTTCAACTATTTAGTCTGGATATATATGCACTCAAGTCATAACCGAGAAATTTATGTAGCCTACACTGTGTGTAAAGATGCGTGTGGCGCTTATATATATATATATATATATATATATATATATGTGTGTGTGTGTGTGTGTGTGTGTGTGTGTGTGTGTGTGTGTGTGTGTGTGTGTATTATATGTATGTATACGCATTGTCAGTAGGCATAATATATCTATATATCTACGTGAACTGTTACCTAACTACACTGTATGTATATACATGTTTATATATATATATATATATATATATATATATATATATATAGGTGTGGATGTGTATGCGTGTGTACTTGTGTGTAGGCGTGTGTGTTTGTGCAAGAGAGGGTCAGTAAATCCATAGTCTTATACGTTGGTATTAGCTGTAAAGTTCAATGAAATTTTTATTATTCAATATTCGCTCTCTGTGGTAAATATTCACCACTAAATTAAGTGCACTGACGTAAGTTTATCATGAAAATATAAATATTTATTTACATTACTTAGACGCGGACTATTATTCCATGATTGTTTTTTTGTTGTTGTCAAGTTTCTACTGCTGTGGCTTCATGTGTCTTTCGAACCGGTTAATATTTATCGAATTCCGAAGTGAACACAATTTGATCCACGGCGGGTTAGAATAACCTAGTCCCACTGTCCATATTAAGGGATATCGCATCTAATTTTTTATTTACTACTGCTTGTTTATTGTACGCCCACTGAGTCAGTGTACGCACTGACTGGCCCAAGAATTAAGGTGTACTTGTGCTTTCGTGAAATCCAAGAAGTAAAGCTTTGCCCCATGATGTTATCGTCCCGTAGAGAACTTAGCGCCTTAAAACTAGACAGTCAATCCGCTATTGCTCTCACCTCGCTTTCACTTATATCGCTGCTGCTACTGTTGTAGCCTTGCTGTCATTTTCATTGATTCATTAACACGTTGTGATATCGCGGGTTTGGTAGTTTTTATTATGACGACGAGTATAAGTTATCTCGTGCCGACTATAAATTATCTCGTGTTTGGCATTTTCTTATATATTTTCATCTGTGGGCGTATTTATTCACAGTGTGAAAACAGTGTTAAGACTTCAGTTGAAGCTATAAATCCACTCATAAGAACTTTTTATTGCCTAAATTGAGAATTATAAATTTGACGTTTGAATTCAGTTTTTGTAGTTAGCGTCTGGTATTCAACGTGTTAATAGCCCGTATTTTTTAATATGTTTTGCCCACTAAAGTTGTCCTTATAGTCTTTCATATTAACTGATTCTTTCCAACGTCTAATTCTGTATTTTTCTTATCTTTACAGTAGTTTTATTTCATTCCACATGTGTTGATATCTAACTCACAAAAGATGATCAGTCAATTCTGATTTTTAATCGTCCCATGCCTAATTACGAGAATTTATGTTTAATGATCCAAGTTATAGACTAAGAATTGTCCCATGTGACAAGAGCCTAGTGGATTAAAGCATTGGTCTGTAACTTTTGTGACATATAAATTGTGTGCACTTGGATTCATTGGAAATGGCGGGAGCAATAATTAAGAAATAGACAAGATATCCCTAGAAATGTACAGCGGAACAGAATAATCTTCCTCTGTAGTTTAAATGAAAGGTTAATTTCGAAATTCCCTGACATTAACCAAATCGGCAAGCACTTGTGACTACAATGTTGTGGAAATAACAACAATGACCTGGGCAATAGTCCGCTTGTAAAAATGTAAATATGTCTATATCTCTGAGATTATTATGATTACTTACATTATTTACATTAATCGGACCGTTATCCTCATCTTCATTGCATATTCACGTTTCGGCCGTTGTACATTCCGGCCTTCTTCAGTTGAGTAGATCTCTGAGATGAGCTATTATGATTACGTACATTATTTACATTATTCGGACCATTATCCTCATCTTCATTGTCATATTCACAAGGTTTCGGCCGTTATACGCTCCGGCCTTTAAGT